ATCAGGAACCCAAGTCAGAGAACACTTGGCGAGATCTGCAATGGAAACATCAAGCACCAGGTTCACAGAACCAAAGCAAAATTAAATAATTCCCTCCAAGGGGAACAAAAAGTGAACACACACTGGATGGACAGATGCTTTCCAAACTTCTTCCAGGGGGAGATGAGTGTTCCCTGCCATGCCAACTGCCCTTTATTTAGGCAGCTATCGTGGTGTATTGCACTACATTTAGATCTGGTCATCCTCATACCAAAAGACCGAGCGTGCAGGAGATACACGTGACCAGCTGGACCAAAAATAAATGCTTAGGTCCCACCACATTAATCCTTACCATTAAAGCCAGCCTGAAACTATGTCTGTACTTGCTGCATGGACAGTTTCACCAGATGTTTACCATAGATCAGAACACTTATGTCAAAATTAGTTTGCAACAACGGTGACAGTAGGAGGACCTCTGGGTACGGAAATCCTACATGCAGATGGTTAAAAAAAGAGGTAAGGTTATGCAGAATTAAAACACGTTAACTCTAAAGTACTTACCAAGACACTTGAAGGGAACGACAATATGGGTGTGACCCTTGCATTGCTTCCTGCCCTTTTTGCACCAGTTTTCAATGGTGACGGGTTGGTTTGCTTCCACCACATTTGTAATCTGAAGCTCTGGGTAGATCTGTTCCAAAAAAAATACATGTTAAAGAAAAAAAATAGATACACCTTTGGTCAGACGAAAGTCAAGTAGGAAAGCCAGAAGAAACAGTATCTTATAAAAGGAAGAGAGTCCATGGGAGCCACAAAAATGTGTAAAAGATTTTGACTGGATACAACTAAAGTTGGGGCTGCGGTGGCTCAAGTGGTTAAGATGCTGACCTGCAGACGGGAAGGTAGGTAGTTCAGCAGTTAGAGATCCGAGTGCTGCATGACGGGGTGAGCTCCCGTCTCTGGCCCCAGCTCCTGCCAACCTAGCAGTTCGAAAGCAAGAAACTGCAAGTAGATAAATAGGTACCGCTTCAGTAGGAAGGTAACAGCATTCCGTGTGCCTTGGCACTTAGTCATGCCGGCCACATGACAACGGAAACATCTTTGGACAGTGCTGGCTCTTCGGTTTGGAAACGGAGATGAGCACTGCATCCCTAGAGTCGGATTTGACTGGCTTTCAAGCAAGGGAAACCTTTACTTTTACCTAAAGTTGTACTGGGTTATCCGATAAAGAAAAATAATCTGAGAGCAAAATCAAACCCTGTAAAAGTATCAAAATATAAGCCAAAAGTTAACATTTCCTTAGGCAAACATGCAGATGAGAATTCCTGAAGTTACCAAGGGATGAAAGACCTCAACGCTAAAAAAAGCAGATCCACCTTTAAAAAGAAAGAAATAGCACTAAGCTCAGCACTGCTAGCACTAGGACAATGCTGTTGTGTTATCTGAACACTGTAGCACATGTGTGACACTCACGCTGCTCTGCTTGCCAAGATGGCCCCATCACATCTCTGTTACGAATGCAGTGTCTCAAAGGATCACATGAAACTGCCTTATACTGAATCAGACCCTTGGGTCCATCAAAGTCGGTATTGTCTAAGACGGACAGCAGCTCTCCAGGGTCTCAGACAGAGGTCTTTCACGTCACCCACTGCCAGATCTTTTAACTGGACATACTGGGGATTGAACCTGGTACCTTCTCTGCACTGTAAGCAGATGCTCTACCACTGAGCCACACTGTGCCCACCCACCCCAACTGGGACAGTTCATCTTTCCCTCTGAAATGCTGGATAAAGAACAGTCACTGCTGTCTTGTCATCTAACCGACTGCGTGGCAGGAGCCGGCAGTACTGGAATGGGTATCAGAATGGCATATGGCACGGGCTGATACTGCTCTTTCTGGCTATGATTAGGTGGTGGTTTTGCCTGGTCAAGCACTCCTGGCTTAACCTTTAAGGCCAGAAGTCTAAGAATGATAAAAAGCTGCTTGCTGAAAGAGGGAGAAAAAAGAGAAAGTGCAGAGAAAAGAAACTTGGAAAAATGGGGGGGACCTTTTTCTCTGCCCCTCCACCCACCCCAGGTTTTCTTCCATTTTTCCCCCAGTGGAAATCAACCATCAACCGCCAAACACACACACACGCAGTAATATTAAAACACAAAACACTTAATCTTTTGAAATTACTAGGTTAGTTCTGAGCAATTAGG